TTTCAGACGCCAAAGTAAATGTGATCCACTGGTGGAAGAGGTACAATTAATAGAAGCTAATCCTGAATACGCACAAATCAAGTTCCCAGACGGAAGAGAACGTACAGTTTCACTTAGACATTTAGCCCCTACAGCTCATAAAACTTTGGAACAAAATTTAACTAATGAAACTGAAAAGATGGCTTCCAACGATGATACTAACGAACCCACCATAGTTGAATCACCGGAGGAAACTGAAAAATTCGAAACTTTTGAAACCATAATGAAGTACCCTCGTTCTCCCAAGAGACCTGTTCCAAAACGGAAGAACGTAGTGCGCAAAACCGTCCTATTCGTTCCAGACGAGCACCTAAATATTTAGAAGACTACATAACAGATTAACGTGGGAAGAATGTAGTGATATTTTATTACCTTGTATATTTGTTTAATTGTTTGATTGATGTCATAATTTATTTTGTAAATGTCATGGATCGTTTTTAGTTTTATTAAACCTTATTAGCAAAGGTTTATTCATTACATTCCTGACACCTTGTGCGCCCGAACCTGGACGTGGACGTCATTCCCGAAAATGTTCCTGACAAGATCATCAAAAACAACCCTAAAATTATTGTAGGGGCATTTTTTTGGGCGCTTAATCCATATTTCACTTTGAAAATGATTTCCTGAACACCTGGTGCACCGGAACCTAGACGCTGCTTAATCCGAATTTCTTATCGAAAAGGACACTTTCAACATCTAGTACACCGGAACATGGCCTTGAATGTCATGTCTGTGGGATTCTCCCAAAACTCACGCGGGGAGGGAGAGAAATTCGGCGCTCGGGGATTCGTTGGGTCGCTAAATTCAAATGTGGCATCGTCGAACACCTTCCGGATACCTGGTGCGCCCGAAACTGGACGTTGGTGGACGGGGCCTGGACTTTGGAGCAAGTTTCTGTGTATACTTACACAAAAGCATTTCGAGCGTTGGGAGAAAAGTAAAAGGCCGCTCATCAAAGTTTGCAGATCTAGCCGGAGATTATTCTCGTAATTTTTCTCGCTCTATTTAAGCCCAGCATTTAGAATTTAGCAGGACTGGATCAACTTTTTTGAGTGCCCAGGCGAGAGATCAATGAATGTATGAAATTATGAGACGATTTTCGGTTAGTATTTTGCGATCGTGTGAGGAACACCCTCGGAGACGATGTTCACCCTGAGGTTCCGGTGCACCAGGTGCTGGGAGGGTCGTTTTCGAGATAAAATTCGGATTCAGCGTCCCCAAGAACCCCCCATAACAATTGTGGGTTCGTCTTCTTCGATTGTGTGAGAAAAACCCTCGAAGACGACGTTTAGGGCCAGATTCCGGTGCACTAGGTGTTCGGTGGATCGTTTTTGACGTGAAATTTAGATAAAGCGCCCAACAAACGCCCCTACAATGATTTTCGGGTAATTTTTGGCGATTTTGTCAGGAAAATTATAGGGGATGACGTCCACGTCTAAGTTTGGGGGCACCATGTGTCCGGGAGGTGTTCGCCGATGTCGTATTTGAATTCAGCGATTCAAAAAGTCCCGGACACCCAGTTTCCCTTTTTCCTTGCGTAAATTTCGGGAGAGTTCCATGAAGATGATGTCCATCGGCATTCCTGAGCTTCATGTTAGCTATGGGTCAATTTAAACATCCTATTCGTGATCAACGACCTCGAAAACTCCTGTGTACCCGATTTGGGTCATTTCTGACTTTTATTTACAAAGTTCTTTAATATTCCATAAGCCTTCTCAAAATATGCATTTTTTGAATGTATTTTTTCTGCAGTAAAGCAATTTCCGGTTTGTATAAGATAAAATGTAGGGAAATTTTTTCCAAATATTATTTGAAAGCGAATGCAAAAAACCGCATTTTGATCCGTCTTAATCTGAAAAATTCCGAACTTTTTTGCTTCAATGCTTCGACTAAAAGTCACTTACGAATAGCAAAATCATCTAGCGTTAGAGAATAACATAATCTCAAGGCTTGTCCTTTTGGTGATACAACTTTGTTGAAAAGTCCGCATATCGCTTTCATTGCTATGCGTTTTCCGCTGAAAGTTAGAGAATAACCTCCTTATATTAAGATGTGTAGTGGCGTGAAATATATTTCGATAGTTAACAGTATGTTTTTTACTTAGTTGTATGAGATCAATGTTTATGTGTCTGCAAATATACTATAATTACATTCTTCTGTATCGTGTATTTTTTTAAAAATTCATACAAACTTTTGTTAAATTTATTTATGCCTGAATTTCGGGACCTACAAAGTGTTGTAACATTAAATGAGTTTCCATAATCTGATTTTATCTTAATTTTCAGTTCATTTATATTATTATAAATTGGTAGAGTTTCATATTTATATTTTGGTCATGGTCGTACATATAAAACCACTTCTGATTAAGTACCAAATGTTCAAAATTTGTCCAGCGTTTTACTCCGCTATATACTTTTGCTGCTTTATATTTTTATTTATTGGCACTGTTTCAAAACACATTTTAAAACATAGTATATTCAGAGACGGTCTGGTGCTCGGTGCGTAGGTGTTTTGTTTTAGACGTTTGTAAACAAACGTCTACGTGACCATAATCGCTTTCACTGAGTTGCGTTAGCGCAAAACCACTCAATGTCAACCAGTTTCTGGCACGTAGACATGCATATCTTTTCTTTGAACGGTGAAAAGATATCGTTTTGAACTTTTAGAGAAGTCAGACGGATCTTAACACAAAACTCGATGGCAGTTATTCTTTTGTAAATACATAAGGTCTCTGAGCAGAGATACTAAAATGATAATAAATAATAAGTAATGTTAACCCTAAGGCAGTGTTGAGCCTCTAGGTGTTTGTAAATAAAGTGTAGTGTAAATATGTAAAATTTAAAAGTTGTCGTGCAACGTTTTTCACAATAAATTGTTTTTTATGAAGTTACTGGAATTTCATTATCCGTATGAAAATATTTGCAGCTTGCACCAAAAGGAGACAGTCCACTTGGTAAGCGAGCCATAGGGCCGTATTCAAAACAAGTGAAAAAGTTACGAAAAAGGCTAAAAAATCGCAATGATTATTTTTTTCAATAAATTAAGGGGAAAATCTCTCTCCTTGCTACAAATATTCATGTTTTAGAACTTTCAACTATCACCTTTATCCTTTAAAATATTCAAAAACAGGTAAAAGGGGGCTTCTTCGATAAAGTAGTTGATGTGGGAGAACAAAAGTCATATGAAAATATCTGAGGTAATTTTACACAATCAGTAGGAATTGAGTCAGTTCCGATTTTTATTCAGACCAATGCAACTACACTCTTTCATAATTGTTTTAATAATTTATTGTTCAAAAATGTGCAAAAAATTTTATAACCAAAAGTTTACTCCCAATATCATTCAAAACGGCCTCTCCAATAAGTTGTTATTTTCATTTTTTCCCACCCACTTCTGGGACACATAATCTCCGGCCGGAATCCATCTTGGGGAGAGTACACCAACATCGTCGTGTTCAGGCTTAGTCGGGTATAAAATCGGTTTATCGAACTCCAGATTGGTGTAAGGATCCACAGTACTTTTACCCCATTTTATGCAATAAGGAATCGGTTCATGAGGTCTGATCATGTAGGTCGTTCCAAGGGTTCGAATGGTTATATTTTTTACTGCTTCGGAGAGGCGTTTACACTGACAAGTCTCCATTTTAAGTAACTGTTATAATGTGACAGTAATCATTTTACACGTCTACCTTCTTCTTTTATTTTTAATTTTTGCGGTCAAGTGAATATACCGGTAAGTATAAGTAGATTTATGCCACGGTTCGTAAACTAAGACGGTGTGCTCATTCCAGTTGCTAAGGACAAAGTAACGTCACGGAATGGTCACAAAATGAAAAAGTGGGTTGAAATCTTCGAGCAATATATTTTACTTCGGTTCGTACATTACTTTTTTAAAAAATCTAATATTTTATTGTTATTTAGTGGTGTTTATATTGGTATTATACGCCGACACTCGAACGGCGGATATAACTATTGAAATGTTATAAATTGTTTCTAGACACTTGGAAACACACTATGCATAACAATTTTGGGTCCGCTAACACTTATTTAAAAAAAAATTTTTACCTTAAAATCCTGAAAATCCTTAAAATTTGTCGTTGGGTCTCCATCATAAAACAAATTGAAATAAACCATTTTCACTGATTTCTTGTTGTAGAAACGGCTAATATCAATATAAGACCATTCATGGAGCAATAAACCGTACCAAATTTTTTCATAAACGATCAAAATTTCTTATTTTTCATTTTAAGTTTGTTAGAAAAATAAATAAACATTAAATTATTTTTAATGACAATTGATGTGTTTAGTTTCTATAAATGCGGTGTTGCCAAATCGAGTAAGAAAACATATAAGTCAGGAAATAATTCGGTTAGTGAAAGTTGGCTGAAAAATTACATAGTGTCTGGCCAGCAGGTAAATTTGGATCTCAAAGTGAAAACATTTGTAGTAATCACAGATAACCGTCTTTTTATTTCATGATGATTGTACGTTAATTACGGCCGACATGCCGTAATTAACGTACAATCATACTTATCTAATATTAAAAAAGAAATTAAATTTGAGCTGTATCCAGGCCGTTGGAGTTTATGCCGGTCGGCGTAGCTAGGTATGGTTTAAAAATTTTCTGGTGGCGGCGAAGCCGCCACCTTACCAGAAGTCCTTTTTACCTTTTCTTATTGTATATTTTCTTATTATACTTCTTTAAACCCATTCGGAACACCATGTTTTGTAATAATGTTTCGGGACACGAAATGACAACACTGTTTAAAAATCTAGCACCACTGGCCATCTCGCCGCATCCTAACTCATTAATGTTTCGTGTTGCGTGACGACAAGGTGATTGAAAATTAAAATATTGGATTGTTGGTTCGTGCGTTTGAAAATAAAATTATGAAGCGAAAAAGCAAACAGGATTCAAAGAAAAGGGCCAAAAAACGGTTACTAGAAGACTTAAGAAAAAAAATGGAAAAATTTGAAAAATATATGGGAAGTTCCTCTTCAAGTAAGTCCAATTTCGCATTTTATATCAAACATTTAGAAATATTATACATTCAAGACAGAATAACGTTTTAGTTTTCTAAAATATAATCATAGGGCTATTATCATTTATTTAAAAACAAAGACGAGTAGGTATTTTGCTTATTTAAATTAAGCGTAGGAATTTATGATTCATGGCGATCGGTTGTTTTTTGGCCGACCGGTGATAAAAAGTACAATCAATGGGTGTTTTTATTATTTTCCAATTCAAAGCGATGTTGCCACGCGCTCGGCGTTTGTCATTTTAATCGGACTATTTTAATTTTATATCTAGTTTATTAAAGAATATATTTTATTTTTTATTACGTTAAAAAATAACATGTTATTTAAAAAAAAAAAAAAAAAGATTTGGTTCTTTTCTCATTTCTGTGAGTAACCTAGAATATAATATAATGGTTGTTTTGCTTTTAGCCAACTATTAAAGTAGATCTAAATAGGTACAAGTAATTTGGTTGTTTTCTCACTTTTGTGAGCAACCTTAATGGAATAGTTGTTTTGCTTTTTGCCAACTATTAAAGTAGATCGGTACCTACAGGTAGGTAAACAAAATAAATATGGTTTCAGGTCAGAGCAGTGATTCTTCAGGTTCAGAATCAGAGTCTTCTTCCTCGAGTGAACGAGAGTCTCTAGGAAGAGAGGAGAGGGAGGTAGCAACCATAAATGCTATTTTGGGAGACGCTCCAGCTAGTTCTGGGGAGAAGGGCCCACCCTTATGTGATGCATTAGTGTCTCGATGGTCAAGTTATTTAAGCGCAGGACTGGAAAAAGATACCAGGGAGGCGCTCACTGCAAAATATAAATTGGCTGAAAACTGCCCCCTTTTAGATGCTCCTAAATTAAACCCAGAAATAGAGGCATCCTTGACGACGGCTCAGATCAAAAGGGATCAGTTTTCAATGAGCATTCAGAATAAATTAGGAAGAGCTCTATCTGCACAAGGCTCAGTACTAAATGTTATTTTATCACCTGATGCAGCCCCGCAGTTAACTGACGATAATATAAAGACAGCTTTAGCGGATGCAGCTAAGCTTATATGTGAAGCACATTACCTATTATCATATCATCGAAAGCATGAGCTCTACCCTTCGCTAAACGCAGAAGTTCAGAAGATAGCAATGAAATCCAAGATTGACTCCTTGTTATTTGGAGAAGATTTCCAGGAAAAATATAAGGTGGCAAAAGAAGTAAAGAAAACCAGTTTAGACTTAAAAGCAGGACCTTCAGGTTATAAGAAAAAGGACCATTTAAACTACAAGCGCCAGAACAACAGGCCCAGGTTCAAAGCAGAGAAGTACGACGACAAGAGGAAGAAAGGGAAACAACTACAGTGGCGTCGCAGCGCTCAGTCCAGTCAGCAGCAGCGCGGCTTGAGGAAATATCACATCTAGAGGTACCTAATAAATATGCAGGTAGAATAAAATTTTTTCGCAGCGAGTGGCAGAATATCACTTCTAACCGAGCTATTTTAAGTTGGGTTTCTGGGTACTCTATCCCGTTTATTAAGAAACCTTATCAGAAACGTGCACCAAAAAATGCAAATATTTCAAAAAAGGAATTTAATAACTTAAATTGTGCTATTTTAAAATTAGAAGCAATTGGGGCAATTTGTAAATGTAAACACCAACGAGGTGAATTTTTATCACCATACTTTTTGGTACCTAAATCAGATGGTGGATTTAGATTTGTATTAAATCTAAGGCGTCTTAATAAATACATTGTAGCCCCTCATTTAAACTTGAAGATTACCGCTCTGTAAAAAACTTGATAACAAAAGATTCTTATATGGCATGTATTGATCTAAAAGACGCATATTTTGTTATATCAATTTCAAAAAAACATAGAAAGTTTTTAAGATTTAAATTCAACAATACTCTTTTTGAATTTTGTTGTATGCCATTTGGACTATGTATAGCACCATTTGTGTTTACAAAACTATTAAAACCTGTTAATTTCAAGCTTAGATCTTTAGGGTTTGAGTCAGTAAACTATCTGGATGACTACTTTTTATTGGGAAGATCCAAGGGGGAATGTTCCCTTAACGTTATAGAGTCCGTAAATTTACTTTATAAATTAGGGTTTATTATTAATTTTAAAAAGAGTTCCTTAGTTCCTATGAACGAATGTAAATTTTTAGGCTTTATATGGAATAGCGTAGATCTAAGTGTTCGACCAACAGAAGATAAGATAAATAAAGCACGTCTTAGAATTAATAAAATTTTGCTTAAGCCACAAATTAAAATTCGAAAAATTGCTGAACTAATTGGTATTTTGAACTCATTGTGTTTCGCATTTAAATACAGTAGACTATACCTAAAACAATTAGAAAGGGAAAAATGTATTGCTGTGCAAAATAACGGGGGAAACTATAACGCGAGATTAAAAATTTCAGAAAAAGCGCACAAGGATTTAAAATGGTGGTTAAAAGAATTACCTGGCAGTTGCCAATACATTGGTGCAATAGAATATAAGCTAGAAATATTTAGCGATGCCTCAAACACAGGATGGGGTATTTTTTGTAACAAGGAGAGATGTAACGGTTTTTGGAATAATATCGAATCAACATTCCATATTAATTATTTAGAGATTCTAGCTGCCTTCAATGGTTTAAAATGTTTTGCTAAACACCTTCAAAATTGTTACATTCTCCTAAGAATAGATAATATAACCGCAATTTCTTTAATTAATCGTATGGGCAGTGTTAAATATTCTTCGCTTAATTTTATTACAAAAAAAATATGGCAATGGTGTGAGGCTCGTAATATTTACGTGTTTGCCTCGTACATTAATACTCATCAAAACATTGAGGCAGACAGAGAGTCCAGGTCATTAAAAATAGAGACTGAGTACTCATTAAATATTAAAGCTTTTCAAAAAATTGTGTCAAATTTTGGACTCCCCCAGATCGATCTTTTTGCTTCCTCTCTTAATGCAAAATGTAAAACCTTTGTGTCTTGGAAACGAGACCCCAATGCTTTTAAAGTTGATGCATTTACCTTAAAATGGTCTGAATTTTTCTTTTATGCATTTCCACCTTTCTGCATATTAGGAAAAGTTATAACAAAAATTATTGCCGAAGGCGCTGAAGGAATACTAGTAGTACCTTTTTGGCCTACCCAAAATTGGTATCCAAAGTTTTTTAAACTGTTAGTTTGTAAACCCCTTTTCTTTCAGCCAGAGATTGATTTATTATTGGATCCTTTTAGGAAAAGCCATCCGATTTGGGACCGCCTTACCCTGGTTGCAGGGAAGCTATCCGGGAATCATATAAAAGAAGAGGCCTAACAGAAGATTGTATTCCTACCATTATAGCTTCCATTAGTGACAGCACTATTAAGCAATACAATGTGTCCCTTAGAAAATGGTGGACATTTTGTTTGAAAAATAACATAGAGGTTTTTAATTCGAATAGTCAGCAAGTAGTAAGTTTTTTAAATAATTGCCTAACTGAAGGTGCTTCCTACAATACATTAAATGCACATTTAGCCGCAATAAAACTAATAACAAATATTACAGGAGATATGGAAATTCTAAAACGGTTCTTAAAGGGTTCTTTTAGGCTTAAGCCTTCTTTCCCCAGATATCAGGAAACATGGGATCCTGAGGAAGTTTTAAAATATTTATATCAACTTTACCCCTTAGAAAATATTTCATTTGAAATGCTTTCGATAAAACTAGTTACCCTTTTAGCTCTTACATCTGCTCATAGAATACAAACCCTCTCAAAAATACAGCTTAATAATATACATAATTATGAAGACAGAGTAGAAATTATTATTACTGATGTATTAAAGACTTCTTATCATAATAAAACTGCGCCCATTTTAAAATTTCCATTCTTTAGAGAAAAACCAGAACTATGTGTGGCGAAAACGTTATTGTTTTATATAGACGCCACCCGGGTTAAACGTTCTAATAAAGATAAATACTTAATATTAACACATAAAAAGCCTTACCATATAGCATCTACACAAACATTATCCCTCGCATTATCCAGATGGATAAAAAAGGCTCTGGAGAATAGTGGTATAGATGTGACAAAGTTTAAGGGATATAGTATTAGACACTCAGCGGTGTCAGCGGCTAGCAGACAGGGCATTTGTATAGAAACTATAAGAAATACGGCTGGCTGGTCTACTAAATCAAATATATTTGTTAAATTTTATAATAGACCAGTAGTAGATAGGTGTTCGTTTGCTAAATCTGTCTTCGGTATGCAATAATTTAAGTGATTAGTTTATTAGAACAAATAGTGTTCTATTTACTATTTAAGGTGTTTGTCATTTATATTTATACAATTATATTATATTAAGTATGGTAGACATGTCATTTACATTTATATAGTTATATATTTTTTGTTATGTAAAAATAAATATGCATAAAGCAAATGTAGAAGAATTCAGTTAATTTAAACCTTGTTTATCCATAGCAGGGTTTCCATGTTGGAATATTTTCTCTAGGCAAAATATTAGGTGCCACTAGATCGAAGCAGACTTTCAACAACTTACAAAACATGGTGTTCCGAATGGGTTTAAAGAAGTATAATTTACGATTAAAGGACTTACCTGTAAGGAAGTTCAATCGTAATTATACGATTTAAACCCATTCGGAACACACCCACCCGGTTTTTCATCGTTTACCGCTGTATCACCCAGACCCAAGCGATCTAGTGTATATTACACTATCCACAAAACATTAATGGGTTAGGATGCGGCGAGATGGCCAGTGGTGCTAGATTTTTAAACAGTGTTGTCATTTCGTGTCCCGAAACATTATTACAAAACATGGTGTTCCGAATGGGTTTAAATCGTATAATTACGATTGAACTTCCTTACAGGTAAGTCCTTTAATCGTAAATTATTAGATGCCCACGATACAAAACACGTTCGTTTAAAGTTGGGATCAAGGTTCACTGGCTAGACGCTAATAAGGGTTAGTTAGGTTAGGTTTTTTTTTCTTCAATTTGAG